TGCAGCGGTAATGCATCTCGTTCCCACGATACACATGAGCATAGGTGTGCTCCGCTTAGGACTTCGTGACGTAGCAGCGTATTTCTTTTAAACGCCGAGTCAGTTACTTAACATTTTAAGACATACTTTAATACTTCCTCGTTGTATCAAAAGTTTCACAAACAAAACTCTTTATTTATCTTACATGTACATCCGTAGTTACCAAGATACAATTCAAAACTAACAAATAACCAAGTTTAGTAGAAAGTGATTGCTTGAAAAAGAAGACAGTCGTAACTATACACAATTGACAATTGAACATCTGTCCCTACTGACTTTAAATAGAAAGATTCGTACTATATAATATGGGGCCCCAATTTTCAGGTATAATTCCCAAGTATAATTTTTAACGTTATAAAATAATTTAAGAGTTTACGAATTTTAAATGAGATGTACTTAATTATTTTCTATTTAAAATGTAATTAGTGGAAAGAAGAATATAATTAAATGTAATTTAAGTTTGTCCCTTAAATATTTTTTAACTAGTGTAATACTAACTAATAGTGTAACTGAATGAATAGATATTTAATTAATGAAAATATTAATTACCGTGCGCGCTCTCCGTTCTCTATCTCGAAAACGATTCAACGTATAAAAAAAATTAAAAAAAAAGTTGTAGGGCATTTAATCCTCTACAATATTGATAATAAATACAAATAGCGAAAAAGGAAACGAGATATTTGCAAAAAATGTACAAAACTTCGATTTTTGTGACCCATATGTAGGTTTTACAACAACTTTTAGGATGTCAAATTACAAGTTTATACGAGTTTAAAGCTGGGTATCTCAAATTCCGAGGCGAACTTGCTAAGATGACTGGATTAATCAAGTATTATTTGACGACTGGATGGCGTAGTGGTTTGTGTAACGGACTGCTATTCCAAACGTCGAGGGTTCGATTCCCGCTCAAGTCAAACATTTGTGTGCATGAACATTTGATGTTTGATTTGGTCTGGGTGTTTCTATGTATAATATGTATGTATTTACAAAAAAAAAAAGTATATATGTATTTATATCAGTTGTCTAGTACCCATAGTACAAGCTCTGCTTAGTTTGGGACTAGATGGCGTTGTGTGTATGTGGTAGAATATTATTATATTATTATTATTATTATAAACGCTTAAAACTAACAACTAATAGTAATTGTTATTTTTAGTTAGTCATTGTGCCGAACCAAGTATTTTAAATTGCAGTCGAATAATACTAAAGTGATTAAAAAATAAATTAAAATTGAATTAATATAATTCGTCCTATTTTTATATTAATCTAACATTATTGCCAAAAAACAAGATGAATTATCCCGATACTAAATTCAGTTATAAGTTTATTTTGCATTACTCGTCTAATTTATAACTTTTGGATATTGGGTAATGTGGGAACATCTTTAAGAGGAAGAGAATATGTTCTTTGAATATGCAAAATAAAAAATAAAGAATTGCTTTTTTTTAGGTTCATAGTGGAGCAAACCGCTGAAGAGCAAGGTGGGCACATCGCGTGCTGCACTATATTAGCTAATAAGAGATCCACTCTCTCGCTCAGTCATTGATTTCGCTCCTTTATGCCATTGATTGAGGGCTTCACTGCGATCACAAAAGATTTACAGTTCCTTTTCGCCGAAAGAATTCAAAAACTTTTACGAACTTTCTTTATATTAATATTTAAATTTTATTAATTATGCCAAGTGCTATAAAGAATAAACCTGGATGAATGTTTTTGATCTTATTATTGCAACGAAACGTGACTCATGAAATTTTGCACAAAAATACAAAAGTTATTTTTTGTTGTCATTAAAATCAAAAAATAATAAGTACGCGTAGCAGATTGTTAAAGAGATTGCAGACTATAAATGAATGTCTTATTATTTATACTTTCAGTTGTAGAGCTTGAAGTATTGTTAAATACCAAGAAAGTTTTGTTAAAATTTTAAGTTATAAGTTCATATATGTGTTTATATGAACTATTTGTGTTTTTAAGTTCAGTATCCTATTTAAAATTCATGAAAGCAATTGACAGTGAATTGAGAGAGGTCTAAGAATTAAACATTTCATAGACCACTCTCAATTCGTTCAATCGTTTGTTGGAAAATTAAGATAATTTAATATAAGTAACACATTAACCAACAATTCATTCACGTGTTATGTCTATGTTACTGCTCCTATTTGTTCTAAAATTTTTACTGTGATATAAGGGGGCAAACGAGCAGACGGCTCATCTGATGGTAAGTAACTACCGCCACCCATAGACACTTGCATGCCGCCACCCCCATAGTCCCAGTGAATGAGCTTGGATTCCGATGAGTGAGTGAGCTTACCGGAATATAAACCCTAACTAGGGTAAGGGTTTGGTATCCCATAAAAGTTATGATAAAATTTCTAAACTCCGGTTTTCTTTGAAGCCGGTCAAGCTGCCAAAGCTTGCCTCTCTCATAAATACCTAAAATATTTAATAATCTAAATATGAGTAAAACATCGTATCTTCTAATGAGCAGGACTAAAAACAATCACAAAAGTACGTTTAATTTAAATTATATTGTAATCAGTGAGTTCATAAGTGACACACCATGGTCCCAACGCTTACAAGCAATAAGGTCAAAAGGCCTCCAACATCGCAACAGTATCCCATCAATTAATATAACAAGCACCATGGAATATTCAGACGGACAGATTATGGTTGCGAGGTTATAGGTTACAAGGAAGCCTTACGCGGGATGGACTGTGCCTAATGCATTTGCAGTGATCATAATGCGAATTGGCTCCTGACAAGGCCAAATTTATTCATTTATTTTTTATTATTTACTTATGATGTTTAACATTAACTTATTGACATTAGAAACACTTAAAATCGAATTATTCAACTTGTTTAATCATTGTCTAACAATCCTTTTTTTTCTAGAGATTGAATTAGGGAACCTCCTGTGAAAAATATAAATATTTGAAATAACATTTATGTAAAATATTATTTTTATATTTGTACAGTAAAAAATGAAATAAAACGACTTCATTAAAAAATAGAAAGTACATTAAAAAATTAAAGAAATACATTTCAAACTAAATATACAATTGAGAGAGTGCCATGGTAGAGGCCTATGTCCAGCAGTGGACTGCGATAGGCTGATTGTGATGATACAATTGAGTCTTCTTTTAAATACTTCCAAGTAGCTTTTGAAGCGATGTTATATAAGTTTTTATTTCTGTAATTTTAATTACATATTTCTCAATATTAGGGACACGAATATTTCGAAACACAAAACTATATTAAATTTATTAAAAGAATAAAGATGCAATTAAGTGGCATTTAAATATTTTCGAAACCTTGATTGGCATATAAAACAATTATACGGCGTTTAAAATCTATGTTTATAAGATTTAAATTTTTTGATCTATCTTCATTATCTCGAACTGCATTAAACTGTTAACAAAACGTAGCCTAAATTTAATATTTTACCAAATACTCGTTAGGGAATGGAGATTATGTATAATTTAAGCAGATTTTTATTGATTCATAGTTCATTAATCAATTATATGTAATTCTAACACAATCATTATAGACTTTTTTTAGACTAATTTTAATTTTATTTTACCTGTCGACATCTGTCACTGACCTTGCGTGACTTATACTAGGGTAATAACCGATTGCTTCTGTTGTTTAGAAGTTGACAACCCTTCTTTGTGCTGGCCCTGAGGGCAAGAGAGATGAGGAAAAACATAATTTTGTGTTGCCGAGCACGAAATGTTGAAAATATTAATTTGTTGAAAAATCCTTTAAACAATTCGGAACTTAAGAAGCCAATCCTGCCAACCCTAAAATAATAACCAAACGCCATTTCACTTCTTCAGCACTATACGAGTGTAAGTGATCCATAGTCAAGTAGGTACCGTGATGAATGATTATATTAATGTTATTAATATCCGGGCATACGCTCTGATATTATTACTTGTCTAACATGTAAGCAATTAGTCGAGTTATATTAGTTTACTATAGTTTATATATGTGCAAATACGATTCCATCGTAATTTGAGAAGCATAATACAAAATATGAAATTAAGGGAGAATATAATACAAATCTGCTTTAAATGTTTAAATTTTATATGGATACGGAGGCAGAAGAACAACAGCGACAGCAGAACGCTTACACACAAAAAGAACACATTATTTGTATATCACCTCTAACGAGGTCGTCGTGGTAGGTCTACATAAAATACATAATCGGCAAGTTTTATACTCGTCTATGCGTTAGTATCACTCACGAAGCACGTGGTTTTTGTAAAAAATCTAGAGTCGTAAGAAGATTCAAGACATTGCATTATTTGTATTACTGAATTTCAATATATACAATTCAATACAGATAAAAATCGTTGAATAGACACTCAAGTAATACATACCTTATGTCGAACGACCTCTTTCGTTTATGTGGTTATACTATTATTTCGATTACAATTCAAGGTAACAGTGTAACATTAGGAAATGTTCCGCATTCATTTCTCACATAGTAAAAATCGTAAAATACCGATAATATTAACAATAAATGACGCCGACGACTCTAAAACACTAGGATATGAAGGTGGAACAAATTTTATATGAACACGTAAACTGCTTAATTGTTTATTTTTATTACTTATTTATGTATTATGAGTTTTTAAGTGATATTTCTGTGAATCCCAGCTGTAGATCGCTTTAAGAAAAAAAATGTGTTCATAGATATGTTCTAGGGATGTTCTCCTCCGCTCTAGGTTTGCATTCTCACTGTAATAAAGACGACGATGTTATTCGACTGAATGTTATTCTGAACTTTTGGAATAGTCACTTTTATATAATTTTTTGATTTTGGTTTTCAAATTATTAAGTTCATAAAATACCGCAATTAAAATAACTGAATGGTAACAGTAATTTTATTTTACTAGTTGGTTTTTAAAGTAAATCTCCAAACGTTCGATGAAAGTAATACTTAAATTTTCTTTAAGGTTCGACCAAGGCAAGTCAACAAAGGGCGCGAGCAAGCTCCGGCGCGACCTAATAAACGCAGAGATAGCCAATCTCCGAGACCTTCTGCCGCTGCCACCATCGACCAGACAGAGGCTCTCACAACTCCAGCTCATGGCGCTCGTCTGTGTCTACGTCAGGAAGTCCAATTACTTCCAACAAGGTAAGAAGTTATACCATTTACTTATCCTCTTGTCCTTAATTATTAAGATTTTGAAATTCGAGAATTTATTATACGATTACTGTACTAAGGGAAACAATTTTTGTAAAACTGGATAACATGTGACTAAAAACGTACCATGCTTTTCTGAACAGTCGGATAGAGCACAGTATCGGAAGACGTCGGTTTACATACAGTATAGAGTCACTATTAGTATAGTAAATGTAAAGTACATGGCGACAAGCAATATGAAAAAACCTTCAAAAATGTGGCAGTAGATGAAGAATATTCTGTACCATGTATTCGATGACGGCGGGCGTGGACAGCCCGTGACAACAGCCATTAATGACACATAGCAACGATAGAATTTAAGCAAACCATCGTTGCACTGGTTTTCTGTGAAGCCGTGGTATCACTTTGACCGAGCCTGGCCCATAATGTGCCAAAGCATGGCTCTCCCACTGCAGTATTGTTGTCTATTTAGTCTCTGAATGGTGAGCATTTTGCGTAGATAGATATACATATGTAAATTACCAGACACACAAAAAAAACATAATAATTGCCTCGGGGGTGAAGTGGTAGCGTATGCGACTGCTGAGCCGAGGTCTCGGGTTCGATTCCCGACTCGGACCAAATGTTTGTATGGTCTGCATATATTTCTTTTGGAGTTTTTGAGTTTTCTATGTATAATATGTAAGTTTTTACAAAAAAGTACATTAGTAGTCTATCAGTCAATCTAGCTTTCATAATACAAGCTCTGCTTTGTTTGAAACGAAATGGTGTTGTGTTAGATGTCCGAAATATTATTGCTTTCCCGAAATAAAAAACCAATATATTCCTGAAATAAAAAAAGACAATGCTGGTCCAAGAAACCAAGTCTAGTTACCATTAACTTAAAAATTCTGACAAGAAGTAGCTACTTAAATTTGTGTGGAAATCGTGATCCGAAAATTTTCAATTTTGTCTTATTTCTAACTACTGTTTCATGTTAGCCTGAGGCTTTCAGATTGAGTCGTGGCATAGTTTACAAAATTATTGTAGCAAATGATTTGGGTTCTATTAAAGAAGTCAAAGTTCCTTTCTTTGTTAAGAGTTTCAAACAAGTGTAAATACTGACCTAGAATTATAAAATAGCTCTCTCTTAGCTGATCTAACCTGCAAGCTGTATAATCCTATATAATTATTAAAATACTTCTTTTGATCATATGGGTGTGCTGAGCACGCATTTTTTGTACGAAAATTCTCAATTCACACAGATCATTTATAACCTCTTATTAGAGCGTAGTAAGATCGTTTGCTTTGATCGGATTATTGAATAGAGCATCCTAACTTTAAGTAAGTCACGTTTGTTGTCAAAACATGAGACGTTAATACAACATATATTAGAAAATGTATTTGGGAAAAAATATAAGAATCACAATAAAAAACTTTTCTCTTTGATGACTTTTGACTTCATAAAAAGTTAAAATTAAACTTTTGAGTCAATACGCTCGTATAAAACTGCTAATAAATAACTTCAAATCAAAATCGCAAAGTCAAATCGCAAATAAAGACATACGATTAACTCAATTTTTTTTCATATATATACACCTTAAATAAAATAGAATATCTATCACAAAGGTACAGGCAGTGTTAAGTAACAAATATTACGAGCAACCTTGAATAACTTTATATTCACTTAAACCATAGATAACTATCACATGTCGATACGCTAACCGTTTAGAATCTCTCCGTCAAGCTCAATTTATCGCGTTAACACAAGGCCGAATTTCACACACAATACAAGCACGCAAATATCAAAAAGTAGCCTTGAAACGAACAGAAAAAATCGCAAAAACGCAAATAATTACGTAACAAAAGACTGTTCTCACGATCGAAACAGTTAGGACGCTACTGTGGATATAAAAAAATGACAGCGTTTCGGCTTTGATAGGAAAATTAGAGAAAATTAGTGGTCCGGGGACTGGCTACCGACTGATGGTTATTGGTCCTAATGGTGCCTGCAGGGTATCGGGCCAGAGTTGGGCTGTCACGCCTGTAGTGCACGCCATTCAGCGTGGTTCACATGCTTACCGGTCAGAATTACTGTTGGATTATATTGTACAGTTATTTTTCTAATTTCTGATGAGAAGTATGTAACTCGGAGATTTGATAATTGTTTTTTTTTTTGTGTTTTTAATGGAAAAAGGAGTATTTAATTCAATACCTCGGGGTAAGATTATTCTGGTTCCAATGTTTAATGAGGAAAAAATAAATAAAACTAAGTATTTAGATGCATTTTCTAAAAGCTTAAGAACATCATTCCTTTATTATAAGTATTAAGAAAGCGAAACAATTCTTTTATCTTAGCGAAAAAGAGAAAATGGTAAAGAACTGACTTTTGATTTCTATTTCGAATGTAACATGGTTTATTGATAAAATGTCATTTTGTCGTATAAACTACGCAAAGTTTCACATGCACACGTTAATCTAAAAAACCAGTGTTCATACATAAATTAAAATAATCATCTTTTACTTAAAATCGGTTCCAAAACCCAGTAAATCTTTTTACCTCTGTTTTTTTCAATAAAAAAATAGTGATAGTTTTATTACGTTAATATACTTATATACTTTGTATTACAAATTATTTCAAATATTCTTAATGATCAAAGAAATAATTGTAAAAAAGTTGCGTCATATTCGTAAATAAATAAGCTTTGACCTTTCCGACAATGAATTCCTATCTTACATACATAGGTACTTCACTGTCATGTAAGCCAACGTTCGCATTTCACTAAGATTCCCTCGGGACTCCCGAGTTACAGCCTTCTCGTATACCACGATAGCTTCCAACTACGGCCCTATTCTGGAAGTTCGGAGGTAACGTTATTTATGTTTTTATCTAAAATATATATTGTTTTATCATTATATTATTTTTTTGCCATTTAATTGCTTAATTTTGTTCTTAAATATGGCTAAGCTTAGATAATTGATATTAACTGATTAGTTCTGCATGAACGAACAGTTCCTCATATCACGTTTAATAATGAATACGAAGAAATAAGAAGAATAAAAGAAAAGATAAGAAGGGCACTATTGCGTCACATTACCATAAGATTGATGTTCCAACGTATGTACGTAACGTGAAATAATACGAACAAACAGTCAAGAAGTCAGCACATCCACTCTTTTTCTCCAGTCACATTATTACCTGCACCTCTGAGTCGTATAGTTAACAAAATTAGCCAGATAAGAGATGGATAATGTTATGATTTTCACAATAATAAATACTCTTATAAGAAGCTATAAAACATAAATGTTTATTTTCAATGTTTATCAATGTTTCCAAAAAAATCAAACAATTAAAAAATAAATAGTAAATATAGTTACTCCATCTGGGCGAAAAACTCAAAACACTTAGGTTGTGGATTTTAGTGAGGTAACTATTTAAATCACATTTGGTTTATAGTCACTAAGAGTCTGACAGCCCCCCTCGCCCCTTCCCTTGCACCAACATCTATGAGGATCTTCCAACCTGTTACCAAAAAGAAAAACACTTACTTACTGTGTCACTTTTAGTATCTTTTACACTGTAAAAATTTAAAAGTGTACAACACATTTGACAATTCTGCCATTAATTTTCTGGATCAATTTATATCCATATCATATCCATAAAATTATATTTTTTTTTTCAATATACCACATTTAAATTGTGCTGTCTGCCAGTTTTTATCGATTTACAAGCGATTAAGATAAACTCAAACAGCTTAATTTGTCAAAGACATATTTAAATACCTTTAGATTCACGATAACGGTATCAAGTATCGATTCCCCGCTTTGCGACTGAGATTGACTTTAATTAATCAGTTTCTGGAGCTTTGACTTGATTTATAACATATTGGTTTAAGTTAATGATATTTGAACCACTGTATATTGGTTTACTGAAATTCACTTTATTATAGGTTACGTTCAAATATTTACGCATTTGTAAATGATGACTTTATGGTGATAATATGTGTGTATGATGATATTAGTTTTTTAAAGACATACTCGTAGTTTAACTACCGAATAAAAAATTTTGCATTACGTACTAATTTAATCCACTGTAAGCTCTGCACAGCTTAATCAAGAGCAGTGACCCCGAAAACAACAAGCATGACCAGTATCCAGGAGAGATTGATTAGCTTTCCCTAGATGATGCAATTTTATTTTGTTTGCATGTATAGTTTCTAGCATAAATCATTTTCTTCGACAGTTAGCAAAGAGTACTTAAATAAACACAAACATTTTTTTTTGAAGAAACAAACTATTCTTTGCATTTTATTTAAGGAAAAAAAAATGAAAATACTTCTGTAGATTTGTAATTAATTGAGTTTTTACTATAACAAAAAAAATCGTGTATCTATTCTTTAAAATTTTAATTTCAGTTCACATTACTTCTTTTGTAGTGAAATTTTGAAATATCGATATGTAATAATCGATGAAGAATAGGGGTCCAGCCAACTCGATAAACGTTCGATTGTCCACGGGTCGTGGGAAACGCATTTTGCATATGATTTCTCTGCGCTCATCTCGATGAAGCCTTGCTTACCATAGTTTAAACTTCGTTGTTTTATTGGCAACCCGTAGACATCTACAGTTTTATACTACCAATGATGGGTCATAAAAATTTACTGGAAATATCATGAAAACTCTAGGATTTTTTCCTGTATTTTTTATCCTAATGTTCTTAATACCCATACCGCTTGTTTTATTAGCGAATAAAAACGATTAGAGGTTAAAAAATTTTTTTAATAAAACAAAAATTGCCATTCCTTGGTCAGAACAAATTAACAGTATATTTTTGTTTTTTTTTTAATTCAGTAAAATTATTTGTAACTAACACTAATATCTCAACTTACATTACGGACACACACACTCGCTCATACACATACATAGTAAACACACTTTTATAATCATACGGATCTTAAACACACAAGCTCATAGTGCGTTTCATATGAGTCACAAATTCGTATAGTGCGTAA